TGTCAGTTAATGTGAATGATCACCTGTTTGCACACAATCAAGTCACGTGACAGTAAAAGAAATAAATCAATCTGGAGGCTGAAGCAAACATGTCTCAATCAGGAGCCACTTCATCAACTTCTTCCTCAGCGGTCGAAATGTGCAGCACGTGACCAGACAATTGTCACTTAAATCAAAACTCAGGTGAATCTCATGCAACTTGACAAGAACGTGTTCGGGTTATGCATCACCCCCAAATTAACAAATGAACCATTTGTTTGATTCAAAATATATTTTCATTTGGAATAAGAATAGATTTGAACAGACAAATTACGTTAGAATCTGCGACGAAAGTGTGCTTGATTGCCATTCAAATGACATTTTACACAAAATCTTAATTGTGCTTAAACAGCTTTAAGTAAAAAAAAAACTATTTCTAGTTTTTTTCTTGTGATTTTCTGGTAAAATATGACCCGGACATGTTATCCGCGAGAGTCACCGGTCTTTTCTCCCTCGTTCTCTACGCGTTTACCGTTGCACGGGAGCTAAATCTCCCCATACCCGCCGTAGAAAACTTATGAACACCACTTACTGGATGTTTGAGCCGTTCCAGTAAACGGCGTGACGGTTGTTCCCGTGAACCGGGCGCAAGTTCATCCAGGCGAGCGCGAGGAGGTAGAGGGAAACCGCCGCGAGAGCCATTATAATATCCCTGCGTTCACGTGCACCTGCTGTGTGGTCTCTTCGGCTTCTTCGACTCTCAGTCCCCCAGTCCCACGCAAAACTAGCGGTTTTTACAACATTTCTGCGACTCCGCAAGTGGACAGACAGTCGCAAAGCGTTTATTTCGCGAAGCCGTGCCGCAGTACGGCTAGTTTGTTCAGTCACAGAGCTTCGCGCTTTCCCGAATGCAACTCCATGGCAGAGAGACGCTCATCCAAGGCATCCTGAGCAGGTCTGTTGGAATTTTCTGAAACACGTTACTGAATAATTCCTTTCTGAGACCAAATCCTCCTCAAGAGAAGAAAAATGGTAGGACAAACTGTCGATGGACGGTCGAGATTACAAAAGGAGAGAGTAGCCTGCGTCGTCAGCGGCAGGTGTCTCTTTGGTTAGGTGACTGGCGTCGACTGGAGAGAGAGAAAAAAACCCGACTCGATAAGTGTAAAAGACGATTTTGTCAACTTACACTGCCATATATTGCGGCCAATGTACTTCTGTGAGCTGTTGTGAGATCCCTCTAGTTTACTGTGGGTTTCGTCCAAACGCACACAGGATGTCAAACAGTAATAGGAAAAGTAAGGCAACCATAGGCGTCCTCACTGACACTCGTTTTCTGCTCCCGCCACAGTATATGATTGACGGGTTGCTGTTGCCTGAGTAGTGGCCACGCCCCCACCGCCTACTCCCCTAATAAGACATGTATATTTAATAAACCTAAATAATTCTGGTTTGTTTGGTAGAGCTGTTTTTAATGTTGTGGATTAATGTTGCCCTTTTTGAGCTTTTCTCCTCCACTACATTTCTAGACAGAGTGTGGATTTGATATGCGGGTCAATGACAAATGATGGATCTTTTAAAAAAAAAAAAAAAAGTGTGCCAGTTTCTTAGAAATGTAGTATTTGTATCTAATATAGTTTAATGCATTATTTACCATTTTCTACAAATACTTGATTTGGTTACATCACACATTTTCAAATATGATTAATATTTTAAAGACAACTGGATCACTGCTTTTTTCCCCCTTCAATTTGTAATCTCTGGACAGTTACACCACCGAAATGTTGTTGTCGTGCCCCCCAAGAAAATATAAAAAAGACATGTCATTTCTTTGGTTATGCAATATTGTCCCAGTTAGGGAAGTCTTTCTTGGACTCATAGCAGACAATACATAAGTTAACAAACACAAACATATGATAAAACATATACAAAAACAGCTTCATTTAAAATAAACACAATTTCAAAGGACCCAAAAGGGCGAACTTATTCAAAAGTCTGACTGAGATTGGCACAAAAGAATGGGATGCTATACCATCAGCCTGAGAGTAAGAAGTTAAAATTCATCATTCAACATTTTTTGGGCTTCCCTTGATACAGATTATTCAAAGTCTCTGAATAGATCAGTTTCCTCCAATCCTATTATATTCATGGACACATGTTCTGTGGCTGCTTCATCATAGAAGAGGTGTAATCAAGTCATTTGTATGATTTTACACAAAGGCATGGATGTGCGTTCAGATCCAATGTTTTAAAGATACCTTACCTGGGGTGTGTTTCCCAAAACCATCGTTGGCTATATGGTCGCAAGTTCCATTGAGCTCTATTGGTAACGACGGAACTTGTGACCATAGTTGCTTTTGGGAAACGCACCCCTGGTTGGTTTTTGACATATAACATTTCCTTAACTGATCTGTTGAGGTGACTGCAAGAAGAAAATTAGAGTATATATAAATTTGATTCAGTTTCTACTGCAAAATGGGTATTGTATACATTAAATATTTTCTTGGTTCTTTCTAAATATCATTTGAATTTGTTGTTGGATCATTAGACATGATGTTACAGTACAGTGACTTGGAAGTCACACTGTATTTTGCACACTGTATTTATCCAATCATGGTTTTTGATACCATAAATAAAATATACAATGTGAAGCATCAGATTATGAATACCCAGGATTAATTGTTAACTATATAACTATAACTAATTGTAAAATATTCAAAATATGAAAAGCCCTTCTCTTTCCTTATGAGGTACCTTCAAACAAAAATGCTTGTTTGCCATATTGAAGTGTGCACTACTGTATGTACTCTACTGTACTCTATGTACTCTAGTGTATGACATTTAAACTGGTAGTTTGCTATCCAGCATTGGAGCCCGTCCACCTCCGCTACATTATTAAATGTGACCGTTAAGTGCATGAAGTGTCCAACATTCCAAACAATTTTTTCAGGTAAATAACAGTGCATCATTTACAAGTATTTGAAGTACACTTCTTGTTGGAATTTTCAGTGTGAACTCATGCTATTTATACTACAAAATGGCATAAAATAGTGCGTACGTATGCAAATTGGAATGTACCCACACTACTTGTCAAAAAATTGGAATAAGTACGTTTTTATTGAATAATTAACTCTTTATGCTCACTTTGGTTGCATTTATTTGAACAAAAATGCTGTAAAAAGTACATTGTGAAATATTATTACAATTTAAAAAATGTGTTTTCTATTTAAATATATTTTAAAATATAATGAATTCCTGCTACTGCAAAGCTCAATTTTTAGCGTCATTACTCCAGTCTTCAGTGTCACATGATCCTTCAGAAATCATTCTAATTTTGCTGCTCAAGAAACATTTCTTATTATTATCAATGTTGAAAAGAGTTGTGCTGCTTAATATTTTTAACCGTGATGCACGACCATTTAAAATTTTAGGTTGAATAAAAAAAATTTTATTCAACAAGAACGCATAAACTCATCAAAAGGGATTGTAAAGGCATTTATAATTCTACAACAGATTTCTATTTCAAATAAAAGATGCAAAAATATTAAGCAGCAAAGCTGTTTTTAACACAGAAATTAATAAGATCCATTATTAATAACTGAGCACCAATAATAAACAACAGTAACTGACCACCAAATCAGCATAATGGAATGATTTCACAAGAATAAATTACATTTTAAAATGTTTTCAAATAGAAAACAGTTCTTTTAAATTACAATAATATTTCACACTATTACTATTTTACTGTATTTTTTTTATAAAATACATTCACCTTAGGTGAGCATAAGAGACTGACCAAAAAATAAAATAAAAAAAATCTTAATTATTCCAAACTTTTGTCCCGTAGTCTAAAGTCTTTTACTGACTAGGTAGCAATGCACATGTGTATACATTGTGTAGTCCTACTTTAATATATTATAGATTTAGACTTTACCAAAAGTTATTGCCATCATACAAAAATTGAATTTCTGTGCACATCATTCAGTGTCTTTAAACCTCTAGGTTTATACATTTGAACCAGTGATGTATGACTAATTGCACTATTCTCTTTCTCTCGTCTCGTATGTCGGCCTATTGTCATTCCCAGCATCACTCTTCCCCGTTCCTTTCTTTCTTTCTCTTTCTTTCTTTTTATTTCTTTCTTCCTTTCTTTCTTTCGTTCTCTGTTGTTTTTGTCAGGGATGCTGCCTCTCTTGTGTCCCCTCCAGGCATGTTGCTGTGGTGACGGCAGTAAAGGGGATGAGAGAGAGGGAGAACTATCACTTCTTTAACTCGCTGTATCTACTGTCCTTGCACTTGTCTGTGCATAGTATGCCATGTCAATTTGCCTCTGTTGTCAATCACGTTTTTTCCCCTCCCTCCAGTGTCCATTTCTCATCCAGTATTAAACAGTTTCACTTGCCGTAGCCATATCTTTTATCTCAAGACTCTCACATTATCATCTCGTCTAGTTTGATTGAGGTAGAAGCACTTCTAGACAAGAGAACAGGGCAGCAGAGGAGGAGGAGGGGGGAAAAGATCTATGGTGAGATATAAAAAAAAAAAGTAAAGAAAAGCACACTGATTTTCCTCAGAGATTATTTAGCTATCCAGTCTCAGCTGTCAGTTAATGTGAATGATCACCTGTCAGCACACAATCAAGTCACGTGACAGTAAAAGAAATAAATCAATCTGGAGGCTGAAGCAAACATGTCTCAATCAGGAGCCACTTCATCAACTTCTTCCTCAGCGGTCGAAATGTGCAGCACGTGACCAGACAATTGTCACTTAAATCAAAACTCAGGTGAATCTCATGCAACTTGACAAGAACGTGTTCGGGTTATGCATCACCCCCAAATTAACAAATTAACCATTTGTTTGATTCAAAATATATTTTCATTTGGAATAAGAATAGATTTGAACAGACAAATTACGTTAGAATCTGCGACGAAAGTGTGCTTGATTGCCATTAAAATGACATTTTACACAAAATCTTAATTGTGCTTAAACAGCTTTAAGTAAAAAAACTATTTCTAGTTTTTTTCTTGTGATTTTCTGGTAAAATATGACCCGGACATGTTATCCGCGAGAGTCACCGGTCTTTTCTCCCTTCTCACTCGTTCTCTACGCGTTTACCGTTGCACGGGAGCTAAATCTCCCCATACCCGCCGTAGAAAACTTATGAACACCACTTACTGGATGTTTGAGCCGTTCCAGTAAACGGCGTGACGGTTGTTCCCGTGAACCGGGCGCAAGTTCGTCCAGGCGAGCGCGAGGAGGTAGAGGGAAACCGCCGCGAGAGCCATTATAATATCCCTGCGTTCACGTGCACCTGCTGTGTGGTCTCCTCGGCTTCTTCGACTCTCAGTCCCCCAGTCCCACGCAAAACTAGCGGTTTTTACAACATTTCTGCGACTCCGCAAGTGGACAGACAGTCGCAAAGCGTTTATTTCGCGAAGCCGTGCCGCAGTACGGCTAGTTTGTTCAGTCACAGAGCTTCGCGCTTTCCCGAATGCAACTCCATGGCAGAGAGACGCTCATCCAAGGCATCCTGAGCAGGTCTGTTGGAATTTTCTGAAACACGTTACTGAATAATTCCTTTCTGAGACCAAATCCTCCTCAAGAGAAGAAAAATGGTAGGACAAACTGTCGATGGACGGTCGAGATTACAAAAGGAGAGAGTAGCCTGCGTCGTCAGCGGCAGGTGTCTCTTTGGTTAGGTGACTGGCGTCGACTGGAGAGAGAGAAAAAAACCCGACTCGATAAGTGTAAAAGACGATTTTGTCAACTTACACTGCCATATATTGCGGCCAATGTACTTCTGTGAGCTGTTGTGAGATCCCTCTAGTTTACTGTGGGTTTCGTCCAAACGCACACAGGATGTCAAACAGTAATAGGAAAAGTAAGGCAACCATAGGCGTCCTCACTGACACTCGTTTTCTGCTCCCGCCACAGTATATGATTGACGGGTTGCTGTTGCCTGAGTAGTGGCCACGCCCCCACCGCCTACTCCCCTAATAAGACATGTATATTTAATAAACCTAAATAATTCTGGTTTGTTTGGTAGAGCTGTTTTTAATGTTGTGGATTAATGTTGCCCTTTTTGAGCTTTTCTCCTCCACTACATTTCTAGACAGAGTGTGGATTTGATATGCGGGTCAATGACAAATGATGGATCTTTTAAAAAAAAAAAAAAAAGTGTGCCAGTTTCTTAGAAATGTAGTATTTGTATCTAATATAGTTTAATGCATTATTTACCATTTTCTACAAATACTTGATTTGGTTACATCACACATTTTCAAATATGATTAATATTTTAAAGACAACTGGATCACTGCTTTTTTCCCCCTTCAATTTGTAATCTCTGGACAGTTACACCACCGAAATGTTGTTGTCGTGCCCCCCAAGAAAATATAAAAAAGACATGTCATTTCTTTGGTTATGCAATATTGTCCCAGTTAGGGAAGTCTTTCTTGGACTCATAGCAGACAATACATAAGTTAACAAACACAAACATATGATAAAACATATACAAAAACAGCTTCATTTAAAATAAACACAATTTCAAAGGACCCAAAAGGGCGAACTTATTCAAAAGTCTGACTG